TTTGTCGCTTTTTGATGGGGTGTTTTTCAGATGAGCATCGGTCTTTTGACGTGTCATCTACTTTGAGGATATCTTCTTTCGGACCTTTGCAAATGAACAACAGCTAGTGGCACGGTTCGTACACGTGAAAATTGCCTATTTGCTCAATGACGCATTCAAACTTTCCACTAAAGGTAACCTATCAACGGCCAAAATGCAGAGTCATGCTGCCATCAGCTGGGAACGAAAGACTATGGAACAGTGACTTACTGCAATAAAGCAAGCGTTAGCGGGAGGGAGTGGCGTCACTTATCTAGTGTCGGATATATATCGGCTTAATGAAGGGACAGAGTAACCAAGCCTCACAACTTTGCTGATGCAAATGATTGTGCACGGCACGCTATCGCAATGGGACTTTTGACCCAAAGTTTTTTCAGGCGCCGACCGACTCTCTCCATTAAACTCCCCACAATAAAGATGACATCAACGACTTCCTTTATAGGATGCGCTTAATTAATAGCTTACATTCACAATGAAGACTTTTCAAGCAAGTTTAGCTTACCCAATGAGTTCTGGGGCCAACCTATGTTTAACTTGATTTCTACCCTCCAAGTCGGTATGACAACATCTGCACTGAGTTGAAAGCCCGCAGGATCAATTCAGGATTTCTACCACGGATCGTGAGCTTAGCATTCGCGCTTCTTATGAATGCACTTTTCATTACTGAGGAATGGGAATGTATATACTGGAGGCTGTACGGCTAAGTGGCCATATAATCCCAATGGGAACATAAAAATGTGCCAGAAGATTCAACTGCTGTCCCAAAGAGTGACTAGCGCACAAGTAGTCAAAATCACTCCATGTGGCCGTATCTGTTAGCGCTGATTATAAAAAAATATCTTCTTCGGGAACTGAGAAGGATACATTTGACGCTGACCTATTCCATTCAGAGCTACATCATGCAATCTCTTTAAAATCATAAAGGCAAAGTATATTGTACGATTGGGCCTAAACAACCTATGGGGGGGACAACCAGTGTTCAAGTGATTGTTTTTATACTCCCAGTTAAGTTAGGTACCGACTGACCGATCCCGGGCTAAGGCTTGGTTGACCTAGACGATGTAAATCACGATCCAGGTTTTGATCACCGAACCATGCGCATGATAAGCCACTTGCTGATACACCACTTCCCCTCGCTCTCAGATATCCGTTGCATATAAAACATCCAAACTGAAAGATACCAGTGCACAAGCCCCGCACTAACCTAACGCTCTTATAGTTTTTCCTGGGGTTCCAACTTTACTCTATCCCTTTCTCTAGCAAAAAACGTGTACCAGCTAAGGAAGGAACTGCTGGAACTCCAAATTACTCGAACTAGCATGGTCTAGCAAACATTTTGCATAAAGAGGAACTATCTCGTGATTCTACTGTAGCACCTAAAATAACTCTTACACTGCTATAAACAATAATTCTACCATGCAGACAAGCAGGTTGACTACAATTACCTTACATGGGACAATTCAGGTTGACAACGGAAGATAAACAGAAATAGGGTGTTGCCCATCAGGTGAGTAACAATGCATTATGGAAAATAGTTCATAAATAACTGTGAATAAAACACTAGAACTAGGGATTCAGCCTACCGACAATGAAAGAAATCAGAAGTGAAGATAATAGCGTTTCTGTCATGAGCTTTTAGTTGGATCTTGTTCTAGGCGACATATTAAAAGTCGCTTATGGGAAAATTCCAGATCCCACAAAGTTTCTAGTGTTAGCGGGCGAAAATGAGGTAGCGGCAAGTGGCGCCAATACTGCCCATATGGCTCACGAAACCTGTAACGGGTCCAATCTGACCCGCACTGAAATAATACTCATTCCTTGAGTCGCTGAAATAGTCCTATACTCGCTTAGAAGGTTGATAAATTGTAGGCGCTATCGCAATATGCGGAGATATTGTGGTGCTAATGCATTCAAAACCGCGCAAAGTATGTGTTGTTTGTTAGACAAAACTAAGTCTCAGTGGGGGGGGGGGGAAAGACACTCCCAGGTGCGTTCGCCATTTTCAATTTTCCCGAAATTTCTGCCACTTCCTATGCTTTGTTGCAGAAGAGCGCCCCATTGCGATAGCGTCCTGAGTTGTAATATCGGAGAAAATCCAGTATGGGCACATCGCCGAGGGGAACAGGACCTCGTTTAGGAACGAACGAAATCGTTACCTCCATCAAGGCAAGATCAGGTCTCGTGTTTCGAGCTAGCCACGCACCACATCCGCGCGGTGGCGATCCGTGCTGCCGGAAATTCTCGCAGCACGGCAGCACACAATGCAAGGCCCTAGCGCCTTTGCCGCGCACTTCTTTGTCGCGACAGACTCATCACCCCCTCTGCTTGGAGACCCCACTTTTGCACCCCGTAATAACGTAACTACCCTCCTATCTCGCTATAACCGTGGGCTCAAATGAGAATATGAAGTCACAACTCTGCGATTTCCGCAAAATATGATTCCCGGATCATTGACAACTCCCTACAGGGTTACTGTATTGATCGGATGACCTGTTGATGTCTTTTTAAAAACATTCTTCAATTTCTCCTGTTACAAAAATCACCAATCATGGCCGACTGTAATAGTGATGGTGCAAGTTCGAGCACCGAAAAAACAATCAGCCGCCGTGCCACACCCTACTTCCCTACGTTTTTTATTTGGAGATTAATTTTTGCAGAATCACATGTCACTGGGAAGCCAACAAACCCTTTTTTACGAAGGCAATGACATTCAAAGTTTTCAAGGTGATAACCCTGCCGTCCCAAAACGCAATCACGTCACTAACCAAACTGCGTTGGTCTGAATAAGCCAAATTCCAACAAATGAAACCGTCGCTAAGTACCCACATCTATTGGAGTGAGGTAAGTTTGGCATAGGTCGCTCAGTTCGCTTCAGCGAATCAGAGCGCATTTGAAGAACATCCTCGAGATCGTGGATTCTTGAGGAATTTGAGTTTTCGGCTAACATTCCAGCCGAGATACGCGTAATTGGTGCCATGCTTTGTCTGAGCGGAGAAACTCAAACCTTGTTCCTCAGGCCTGGGCAGAGTCAACCCTGCGTTGCGCAGTTCGCAACGGCACGTTGAGAGATCCTCAACGCACGCTGTATGGGCGGAGACACAGACGGCTCGAGCATGCGAGTGTGAATGTTCGCGCGAGAGAACGTGTCTAATCGGGCGAAACTGCGCAACGTGGCCGTTGAGAACTGCGCAACGCAGGGTTGACTCTGGTTGGGTGGTAAGGCTTCGAGGATGGTGCTATTCAAATGGATTGGAATAACACGAAAGCCTTATTCCTTACCATGTTACCCCCCCCTCCCAAACTTAAAAAGGCCTGGACGAGCATGTTTGAAGATGCATGCGCATGTCAAATTTCTTCGCTATATTAGACTCCAGATCTTCAGAAGCATTGCTGATAGAGCCGGCTAACTAACAACTGTAATTACCGTAGTGGAACATTTCAGTTATCGGCATTATAATTACTTTGATTTGACTTATGATCGACATGATTGAAGTAGAATGGCAAGCCTTGGCTAGTTATGGCTTCATCTAACAAGGGGGGTCTTTCAGGGCAAGCCACGCTTTTTCAAAACGGTTTTTTGCATATTGTAGGGACGCATGTAGGGAACACAAAACCATGTTTCATTTTCGCTGAACGGTTTAGCAGTACCAAAAAAGAAGCATAAGGTACTGTTAATGGTTCGATCCCCCGTGGCGACTAAATTTTGCATTTGGGTTGGCGCCTACGGGTTGGTGCCAAATCGCGCTAAATGTCAAAATCAGATGTCAATTCATCGTCAGGACCATTTTGAAGCCAACAAGTGGCCGCCAACCTTGATTGCAAAATTTAGTCGCCGCGGGGGATCGAACCATCAAGGGTATCATTCACCACTTTTTTGGTACTACTAAAACCGTTCAGCGAAAACGAAACATGGTTTTGTGGTCCATACATGCGTCCCTACAATATGCAAGAAACCGTTTCCAAAAAGCGCGGCTTGCCCTGAAAGACCCCCTTGTAGAGAAACTCTCACACGTCTTCCGTCAATATCATCCTGATATTCAGTTGTACAACGAATGTCATATTTTCACCATCCAAATAACCCATTGTTTTACATACGCACGTAAACGCTCCAGCATTTACTGAGAGATCTACAAATGAGACTCTCTACAACATACCTGAACGATGGCTCTCG